ACCAGATAAGTAAATGTATATATGTTTTCCTTTAAGACGATATTTGCATATTTGCTGGGGATGCTCACTCCTCCATGGCACCTGATCCCACCTCTGATGTCTTAGAGGTCCGTGTTTGCTCTGCTCCTATTTTGTAATGTTTAATGGACTTTTGAGCTCGAATACTGTTCGTTATCTCAACATATTTCATAAGCTAATAAAATGTATACTGAAATTCTTTTGAAATAGGATTTATAGTGCTATAAATGACACGGGATGATTGTGTTTCACATAATTATAATGTTAATATAGATACATACATGTATATATTTATGCTAATGTTGAGAACATAACACATATTTCCAGATTAAGATGAAAATAGCACTCTTAAGTCGGCGAACCTTTTAAACCTGGAGAAGATTTCTATATACATATAAAGTGCACTTACAGCAAAATTAAGTGATATCGGCAAATTAGATTTTTAATTAGTATTCTTTGAATAACCCACTTAAAGAAAAATGTTTTACATTAACTCTAAATGGTAGAGTTTTTCGAGTTTGACTAATCAATTCCTTACATATTTTATGGTGTTGCCCGCAGTGATTCAAATACACGGATTAGATGCATATTACGTAAAACAATATTTGACTTGAGAATACTATTGATCATACACCATCCTTTTGTATAAATGCTGATATCTAAACGTAGTAAAAATGAATGAGTTTGCAGTGAACTACATGCATGTACTTCTTGTTTGATTCGCATTGCAAGAACGAAACTGCAATAAACCTCTGAATAAATCCTCTCTTTTTTAAATGTCAAGTTTCAAGGTTTGATATATACTCAAGGAAAAGAAACCTTAACGGAAAAGAACAGGGTACAGTTTCAATACAAATTTGGCCCTGTATTTTTCCAAAATATGAAAGTGATAAAATAAATTAAAACTCGTGCTTTCTGAATCGTTGAAATTTCATGCAATAAGATTTTTTTTTTTTTTTTTCATACGACTTCCTTAAAGCTAATTGTGACGTGAAAAACTTGAGCATTTTCCCATATTTTTTTTAAAAAGTTCCAGAATTAAAGACATCAATTTTCAGTGAAATTTTCTTTCAGATAATAAAGACCACATGCATCCCCGACAAAGATTTTGAGAAGTGTGATTATTCAAAGAATTTTATACAACATCCAAATATTGAAGTGGACGACGGCTGTGGGCACTATTTTCTGACAAGAAAGTTACCCCTAAAATGAGTCATTTTGATGCTTTTTTTCTGCTTAAAACTTAGAAATATGCCAAATTAATGACATCATATTTTCAGAATGGTGTTACTTCATGCCATATTGTATTTATTTTTTTTTTTTAAATCATAAAATTTTTAGGGCACAATAAAGCCAAAACAGTACCTACTTCTTTCTTTGGTATCAAAAATAATATGTATTCTTTTATTCAACTATACAAGGATTAAATTATTTTTCACTTACTCAACGACGTCATTTTACTCCAAAAATATCACTCACTAAGATACTGTAATGATAAAGTCCGGGAGGAATTCATATCAATCAGTACACTTCATTTTTTCAAATACAGATATTAAAAAGTATTATTTTTGCACAGAAATTCAAGTCGATCAGTCAAAACAAGAATGAAGCTGTAAAATTCACTCTCCTTCAATGTTGACTAATATCGATCTCCTTCTTTCTTCTGTTAAGCAACAGTGATGATAAAGTCAAGGTTTATGTAGGAGACAACAGTTTTTAGTGGACACTTTGTGTAGTTTGACCAGTGGTGTCCAGATGGCAAATCTGCATTGAAGTCTCGTGGGTTTTTTTTTTTCAATTGTTCATACTTTGATTAATCAAGCCGTCACGCTTTACTGATATTATGAATACATTATCTCTCTTGAATATATTATCAAAAACAGTTAAAATTCTCCAGTCTGTTCTTAAATCAAAAAATTCACATTTTTCCTTCCAAAAGAAATTGTTGCTTAACGATCGGAATTTATTCATCATAACAGATTATATTTAACTTTAAATTTTCACTGAAAATTTTGATTTTAGCTGAGTGAATTTTTGAACATCTAAAAACATACCTTGAATGCAAAGTATCAGATACATGTAGATAAGGTGTTTGTAAAAGATTTATAAAATCATTTTCAAGTTGATGTAATGTGTCAGGAAAAATTCCTCATGAAAAAATAAATCTGCGTGAAAATTGAATCCTTTTAGTGAAAATGCACGTTTCATTTTCGTAACACGAGTTTGATAAACAAGGCGTGCACAAAATGGTAAAATTAAAGTTTTATGACTCCTTGGAAAATAATAATCATGAATCAAGGCTAAGATATATGTCTTTATATTCTGCTTGAAATATACTTCTCATTGCCATTAAAATATTTTTAGCCTAGGTATTTTAGTTACAGCCCTATGTGACTTGTACATAGAAAAATTTAAAGGTTTGTTTTGGGAGAAAACCTCCCACGCAATTGATTGATCGATACAAAAAATAGATCACATCTATTGTTATTGTCATTACAAGAACATATTTGATTGTTTATCCTTTCAAATTAAAAAAAATTATCTAATTTGCATTCATTCATGTTTAAAACCATTTTTCATGTCTAAGGACTGTTCAGAGATGACGATTTGTTAAGCTGAAGAAAGGTATCATTTTACTTTTTCGTGTTTCTTTCTGATTCTGCTTTTTAGTAATATTTTGTAGTTAAATACGCAACAGAAAAAAATATGCTAGATAGATATCGGTTCAAAAGGACGTTATTTGAAGAATTTATTTGAAAGATGCTTACAATTAGCAAAAAAAATCATAAGATTCATATCCGTTCCTCAAAGAATACTTTGTTAGGCTGGGTGGGTAGGTTTCATAAAATATTAATTGTGTATATTATTAAACTTATCACATAAATTATAAACATACAACCTTTAAAACTCAATATTATATACCTGTACACTGTATCTATTGATACCGCAAGGGAAGTTAACGTCAAATTAACGTCAATAACTACAGAAGTACATGTATATACATATATCAATGGCTTAAGCTTCTGAATGATGTCAAGAAGAAAAAAAAAGACTAATTGGAAAAAGGAAAAAAATTATTTCATAAAACATCTTGCAAAGGCAGTAGGCACATCTCAACATTTATGTTGAGAATTTTTATGTTAACTTTAAAAAATTTAAACTTTTTAACTTAATATGCCTGTATATAAAGTGTTGTATACATGATTTTAGAGATGGAGGACAGAGATACTTCAGTGTATTGACTGACTATTGTAGAACCTGTTTTATCTGGGACATTGTAATTGGTTAACACTAATATATCCTGCATACATCTTGTAAAGATAATATATTAGATAAAGGGCGACAGGTCTCCCGCAATCGGTCATTTTGAATGTGTTTTTGAACTTGGCATTATCAATCAAATGAATTATCACATGAATTAAGAGGGAAATATAAAAAAAAAGGTTTAGGGATTTAAAAGTTTTTATTTTTTTCGAATAACTTTTACTTCGTCAATTCAGGTTGATAATATTATTATTTCTATAATCATTTGAATCTATTAAAGAATTGCTTCATTCTGGTAGAAATGGCATTCAAATTGACTTAAACCAATAAACATGTTATAAAGAGTAGAAAAACATGTAAACAAGTGTTAAGAACCAACATGTTTGGTTGTCTTGTAGAAATTAATTCAAATAAAACGGTACATTGTATACATTAAAATTGTTTTATTTGGATGTATACCTCAACAGAGCCCAAGAAGATGAAAGAAAGTAAATTAAAATTTGAATGTCTTAATACATGTAAAAAGCAAAGAACTATTTTCTATTTGAAATATTTAATTCTCATAAATATTTTCACAAAACTGTTTTTAAATATATATCTAAATTTGAGTTAACTCAAGGACGCATTAAAAATTATTATAAAAAAAAAAAAAAAAAAAAAAAAAAAAAAAGAAGAAGATTATTTATGCTGTTACTTGTACAAGCATACCTATAAAAAAAAAACGAATCTACAGTAAATGTCAGAACCCAAGCTTAAAAAAATGGTTTCTCAGCCAGATGCAAAGCTAAAATGACTGGATGAGTTTTAGAGCAGGCTAAAATTACTGTATAAAAATACATGTACTAATTTTATCTTATTTATTGATTACTGGATTATCTAAATTCACTGGGTTGGTATAGTTAAAAGCTAAACTAAGCTATAACTTGCTGGAATGTCTATAAGGAAGCTAAAATAACTAGGAAAGTCTGATACCAAGCTAATATTTCAAGCTAACTTTATTAGGTTCACCTAAAATTAAGCTGAATCGATTGGAAATAGACTTATACTACACAAACATAAAGAGAAGTTAGAATTACTGGATCAGTTTGACGCCAAGCTTAAAAAATTACTGGGTAGAGATAAAGATGACATCTAATACTAAGACAAACTTACTGGGTACATCGGAATAATCAAGTAAGAATACTTGTACTTCCAAAACTTTAAACCAAGCTAAATAACTGATAAAGTCTGATACAGTAAAAATACTCTAATGAATTCACGATTGCTTCCGAAGACATTTGCGAGATTAATCAAAATTCCACATTGGACAACAACAAAAATAAAACAATTTACATTAAGGGAGGAGGGTTAAAAGTTTTCGTCATAATAGGCAAGATTTCAGAATACACAACATCTCTATTAGACATTTTTAAATGTATCACGCTTAAATCATTGGGTAAATACTTAAAAAAGCAAACATTACTAGATAAGTTTGAAAGCATGGTAAAATTACTGTATAAATCTTTTATTAAGCTTTAATGACTGCGTTAGTCTGGTACTAAGCATAACCTTGAACATGTAAAAACCAGGCTGAAATTCTTTGTAAACTGATATCAAGCTAAAGCTACAGAGTAAGTTAAATAACAGATATCAAGCCTCAAAATTGGCCAGGTAAGTCTGGGACCCTATTTTCTTTAAATATGAACAAAGCTTGTAAATGAAGAACAAGAGGTACTTACCACGTGAAGACATTCTATTCGCAACTAGTCGAAATTGTGAATTATTGTGATGGCCTCATCCTTTTAGTGAACCGTATTCATTAGAAGTTCTTTTCCAACTCCACAGTTGCTTCTTGGTCATATAGGGAAATGATGTATGGCTAATATTACTGTATGATGAAACGAAATCACAAATTAGCAATCCCTGTTTGTTATTATGGCTTTTGATATCACTCCTCCCTCAATCTTTAAGATATTAACTCTTCCTCAAATCTATCATTGGACAGTCATAAAATAAAATTGTTTGTGATACACACTGAACAGTATTGGCAATCTGGTAAGGCTTATGGTTCCCAGAATGTGGTCAAACGCTAAAACCACACTTTTAGTTGAAAACATGAAAACTGAACGTCTGTCAGTTGTATATTAAGTTATCGCAATGATCCACAAGGTCCATGAATACATTATCTTTTCTGCATAATTTATAGGTAGTTAAAACCGCCCTGTCTAAATTAGTCTATATTTGTAATAATAAATTTGTACCTTTTTTCCTTTTTGGAATGCGTGGTCAAAACAACAAAGAATGTATTTATCATAATATAAATTTTATGATTCATCCATTAAAAACCTCCCATGCACATATGTTTTGCTTTATTTTGTTTCTCTGTCATATATTATCCAAAGCTTTGTAAGTTACTTAATATTTCAGGCTATTTCAATGTAAAATATATAGCTTTCCAGAAGATTAAATTGCCAAGACTTAGTTCGCATGCTTACAGTAGAAATATGAAAGACTTTCAAATGTTTCATAATATCTTTTTCCCCCTTAGGCATGTTGTGTCTGAGCAAATTGCCAATGATTAATCGTTGTGCATATTAACCACAAAGGTTTTACAAATATGAGTAGTAAAAAATCAATATGGTACAAGCAAAGCAATATAAATACGCAATAAGAAAGTTTAGATATTGAAGCAATAAATCTTCCAATGTACTTGTCCCAAAAGAAGTTCTTTGAAAAAAAAAAAAAAAAAAAAAAAAGAACAGTCTGTGCAAGTAACCTTAAAAATTTTTTCATCATTCATATCAGTTTCACTTTTTTTGCATTCCTCTCCCGATCAAAACATTGTTTTTAAACATTTGTTGTGTTTCTCCCCCGCGCATTATTAATTGATACAGGTGATCGATCAAATATTATCAATAATAGTGATTTAATTATTTGGGATAAAGGCTTAATAAGACGGTCCCAATATCTTCGAATTGCAATTTCAACTTTAACTTTTTAGGAAATTTAACATTGATGTTTTAAGAAGGATATTTCATAAACCAACCGAGAATACTGAATATTTTGTATTTATGATCTTAATAACAAGCTTCAATTAAAATAATTATGATTAAGTATATATATACATATTGCCAAGAGCTCATTAAATTACCATTCAATACAATCAACTATTCTCCCCTAATTTCAGTAACCTTTGCAAATCCTTATTTACCTTTTGCCTTAGAGTTGTTTATAACAAAGAACAAATGACATTTATTGCAATTTTTACCTGTTGTCATGGAATTGTTTACAAAACAGAAAGGGGGGGGGCAATTATTGCAAATCCTTGTTTAGCTATTTACCGTATAAAGGGGATTTTCTGCGGTTGGAATTTTTTGCGATTTAACCCCTAAAAGGTTGCGAATTAATTTCTGCGTTTTCAATTTCTGCGGTTGCACTATACCGCAAGAATTTATTTCGGGGTATGATCATGCACTAAACTTTATGAATTATCAGAATGCTGTCATGTTTACGTTTTATAAATAAATTAAGACATATTGATCAAAGGTGCATGAAAACTGGTATTAAGCTATTATGCTTAATTAAAGTACACTGTACTATCTTTTAGTTAGTTTTTGTAAAAATATTTCGAGTACCAATTGAAATGAATTAATGCAGTGTCAGTCCACCCGAACAATACAAATCTTTATTCTAACAGACGTTTTATGCGATCTATTAAAATAATAGTACATGTATTTAAATATATGTAGATAATGATAATAAATGCATCCAAGCCATATTCTAAAATACATTTTCTAGTTAACTGCCATCAAAATTAATTGTGTGTTTATATTTTAAGCTAAATCAAACAGTTGCATAATGAAGTACCCCAAAGTTGACTGTTAACAATCACAGGTGTCATGTGCATTGAGGCGTAACTAATCCTGTCAGTCATGCATTAGGTGAAATTCACGAGACAATCTAGCCACATTGTGTATACAAGCAGCAATTACAAGTATTGTCTCAATATAAAACACGTTTAAAAAAGAAAAGCTACCATGTGTTGTTTGCAGCTATCGGAGTTTGGACTAATAATTGCAAAATAGGTACAAGTAAAGATGTTTTTGTATCAACTTATTTAATTGATATTATTTACATCTAGGAAGGTTTTGATTCAATATGTTTTGGACAAATCCTGACATCTAAAATCTTCGAATTTCGATGACACTCGAATTTTCTCGCTAACGAGGATGTGGCCACTCATGAGTCTGCGGACGCATCGATTTTAAAAACCTTGCATTCCAAATAATTTTTCTGTGTCCAGTACGCAGGTTCTTACGTTATTGAGAACCCTATCAGACATACACACCACTTATCATAATTTCATGTACAAAATATCTGAATGAATATTGAAAAAAATATTTTGCGATTGTAATTTTTGCGGATTTGTCCTATCCGCAAAATTCCGCAAAAATTGGACAACGGCAGAAAATACCCGTTATACGGTATATGGATTTATTACCTTCTTTACAACACAAAAAAGCTGGCATAAATTCGTGATTATCAACGTATTGGCTTGCCAAATACACAACATCAAATTCACCAGCATTTTTTTTTTTAAATTTTGACTTCAAGTACGTGTTGGCATTTTTTTTTCATTATTTTGCTTCCCTATCAGAGGTATGAAAATGTACGATTCTGGAAGAAAGGTAAGAGGTACAAGGAATTGCCAGTCCAAGTACAGATATCGATGTAAAATAAAATGTGGGATGTAATTTTCAGAAAACTGTCTGTTACATCACGCACCGGTCATCTTCTGGTAAGCCATGTCTTACTTCTTAAAACGTACAATATTTTTGTTTGTTTTGCTTTTTGTCGTTGACACACCACTTATCGCTGGTGGAATGCTTCAAAATTAGACCTGTTCTAGGCAAAAGGCAAAGGATATTTTTCCCTGTCAATGTTTCGGTTATAGGTCTCCACATCCTACAACAGGATTCAAACCTGCGACGTAAGGATCATATTTATGATCTGCGACTTTAAAGAGTAAGGTTCTAACCACTGCATCACGCCGCCGACTAAATAATGAGGAGATGAAGGATTATGAAGGATAATTGACGGAGAATAATATCTTTTATTCAAAAGCCCGAAAGGATTAAAGGGTTTCGAAAAGGAAACGTATTTTTTGGAATTTAGAACCACACATTGTCAACTAAAATTATACTACGGTCCAAATTGTATCATCCAGATACCTATGAAAGTAAATGAACATGAGCGTCTTAAATTATTAAAAAATAACACTCTTCAGTCAATTGAAGAACTTGAAAGGAATCTTTATAATACGTTTTATTTATTAATATCCAAGCATCGCTTTTTAATATTTTAGCTTGCACAACATTTTGAGTGAAAGCACCTCAGGATAGTTTCTATTGATATCCTTTGAAGGCTATCAATTTTACGGCCTAGACTGTTGTCTTTTTGCTACAATAAATCCAGTATCGGTGTTTGTACCTTAATTATTAAATTGATCTTATTTTGGAGCTACTAGTGATTGAGAGCATTTTCAAAAGAAACGGATGTGCACTCTTCTCTGTTGTGGATGCATAGACTGAGTCCTTTGGTCGCATAATTTTTAAACTTCCGGCTGGACGATCCCTAGAAGGCTTTCGAGCTTCATTCTACGCCATAAAAACGGGGGGCTGAAGGAAACTTTTAAAAGGAGTACTTTACATTATTACCACGCAAAAACATTGTTCTCATGTTTTTCTTAACTACAATATTTTACACAGTAGTAATTTAATTTAATTAGGTCAGGCATTTCTGCTAGTGATTTATTGTCTTGTATATTATAATAACCATATTCCTATCTCTTGTCCACGTAGACTAAGAATGAATAACATCGAAAACTTACAGATAATGACCTTACTGGACATTTTGCGTTATATTTTGATAAAGCGAGTGTCCTTGAAGCTGACTATAGTAAATAAAGGTGTTAAAAGAAAACATGTTTTGTTCCATTTCATTTTATCAAGTATGACAGCAAAACAAACGTGCTAATTTTTCTAAATTCATTATAAATTCCAAACTAATATACATGTATAACCTTGGTCTTTATGATTAATACTGTAAAGAATGTTTATCGGCAACAACTTTATTATTGTACAATTATGCGGAAATTTCATTCATATGTTTATTTGTATAATAAAAGTTGATATACAACACAAACCTACGTCCTTTTGCTAGTATGTACATACCTATTGCATGTATATCTTGCCAAAATGAGGTGATTCACAGTTGTAATATTTATTGTTAAACTCTTTTTCTTCTAAAATTACTTTTCAAAAAGAAATAATTTAAAAACATATATCGGAATATACATAGAGGTCGCTAGCATGTTAGATTCCCGTGAAACCCGTAAGAAAACAGTTTATAAAGTCCTGATTGTACTTAATATAGAGATCTTAAAATGATATAATATGTTAAAATGATACACGTGGAGAACATCAAGCATACATCATTTTTTAGGAAGATGTTATATTTAGGATTTCAGATCTTCTCACCTGTGTGGTCAGAAATAATAAAGAATGTATTTATCATAAATGACATTTTATGACTCATATATATATCAAAAGTCCGGATCGTAAAGTCAGAGAGTACTTAAGGTAGGTCCAATCTACAGGTCTTACCGCGAATTTCTCAAAACATGTGTTAAAATAATTTGATTGTTCATTTGACAGTGCAACAGAATAGATATATAAATGGTTGTTAGTATTATTACTGAGAGGAACTCATTAGTTGTTAGAACTTGTTTACGATCCAATTGATTATTTCAGTAAAATAGGTTCAAAATCGATTTCTGAGATGGAGTCTCCTAAACACATATAGCATTGTTTGTCAATCGGCAGTACCAGAGTCCAATACAGGATGTACATGTAGACTTCTATTTAATCACAAGTGTTGAATCCTTATAGTTTAAAACTTCTGAATTTAAGTGCATTTAAAGTACGTGTTCACAGAATATCTACAAAAAAGGAAACAATTATTTTCAATTATCAAACAATCTGATTCATCAACTCTGGTAGATCACATCTTATTGTGCCCAACCAAAGTAGGTTTATAATCAACAGCCTTCACAATTCTATAAA